ATATATATATATATATATATTTAAATATCTGATTTGATGATATAATTAGTAGTAGATGTGGGATTTGGAGGTTAGAATTGATGTGTTTTGTTTTCAGGGGAGGTGTATGTGTGCGGGATGTCGAAGGAGGAAGAGGTACCGGATGATCCTGCGGAGATAAGGGGAAACCCTGAATCGATTGCGATGCTTAAGAGGGTGGCTAAGACTGTGTCGAGCCATCTTGGGGAAGGAGAGGCCGGTCTGAAGGCAGAGCAAGCCTGCTTCTTGCCCTGTACTTATGATGGGATACCAGTGATAGGAGAGGTTCCAGGGGTGAAGGGCTGTTACGTGGCAACAGGGCACAACTGTTGGGGTATTCTCAATGGTCCTGCCACTGGAGCTGCACTTGCTCAGCTTATTCTTCATGGTCATTCCGCCATTGTTGATCTTAAGCGCTTTAGTCCCTCCAGATTCCTTCTCCCCTCAAACCCTTAGATACTCTTGCAGGATCACTCTTTTCAACTCTTCCTAATTTTCATCATCAAATATCTATGTAACTTCATATAAAACAATGAAAAGCGTTTATGAAGAATCACTCATCTTGTACTCTTTTTTTTTCTTTTGTTTAATATAAGTTTTTTGCTTTAATTTTTAATGTGATTGTTAATGCCTAACTTGAACTAAAGTAGGGTAGAGCATAAACTCTTGTTTAGTAACATCAAAAGCTAATAAAGAAATCTTATACTATAAATATATTCTGATTAAATTTTACGTACAGTATAACTTTGTTTTAAATTTCACAAATCCAAATTTAGTCAAACTTAACTACTGTCATTGTACACTCATCATAACTCTTGTTTCTAAAAAGTCGAGAGACTTTAAAACTATAACATTCTAAGTATTTATGTATTGTATATTGTATGTTCTTTTTATATTTATACATATATTTTATTAATGTTTTGATTAATCCAAGCAATCTTTTAAATAAACCTTATTCGTAAAATGTTTTATAAAACGATTATTTATTTTCATAATTAAATGACCTTATTATTTTAATATAAATGTTGGAATTTCATTATTATTTATTCAGTTACGGGGTTTCTCATGTGATCAAAATGTGCTAGTCGTAAAATAGGTATATAAGTTTAAGTAAAGGTTGAAAACGGATTTAATATCTCAATAATCTTCTCGCTTTATACGGTTCAATATTAGAAAGTTTGTACTGAGATTATTATTATTATATTATATGCTGAGCGAATGAATCTCATTATTATTTTTATAAGATTATTAATCTATTTTAATTTACATAATGATGATTATTTGATGATTAAGTCTCCATTAAAGCCTGAAAAGAAGTCAAATTTCAGTATAAACAATATAAATAAGTGTCTTAGCTGGGAATTTGTTCACAAGCATTTATTATAATTTTAAATTTTTTCACAAATCAATTTATATTTTCTTTTGCATGAGTTAGATGACCTTAGTGGTTATTAAACATATAAGTATTCAAATTCACGTTTATGAAAAATCTTTGAAAACCAAAAGTAATAAGACACACTTATTTTTATACTAATTTACTCAAATTAAGTTAGGTCAAATTCTTCTTTATACACTTTTAAAGGGTTTCATTAATCACAAAGGATTACAATGAGTTTAATTACTTATGGTATACAACTAACCCAATTGGTTAGAACGAGTATAACCAATCCTAGTATGAACTTGTCTAACTGATCAGACGGTTTAACTCCATTAAGTTAAACTTATACATATTTTACTTCACTTCTAAAAAAAAAATAACAGTGTTTTATAGATTACAAGAACAAAATATGTAATTCTCATAGAGAAGATTTGAAATCAATACAAAGAAATTATGAAAACTTGTAAAGAACTTTTCTTTTTCAAAGAACAAGCATTAGACGATGTAAGCTTTAGAAAAAATAATAGTAAGAGGGTATGCACAAATAATTCTTAATCATTTTTCTCTTCTCTTCATACAGTTCTCTTTATATAGATTTTTTTTGGAAAAAAAAATGTTAGTTAGAGCTTTTGACTTTCACTTAGAGATGTAGCCTTTTGTACTAGGTTAGAAGCTATGTTGCGTCATATAGAAACAATTGTGTTGTGTACGGAAGAGACAAGTAGAAAGAATGAATAAAACATTCTTCGAATATCTTCATGTCTTTAAACGTTCTTCTAATTCTAATGCAGCCTTTTGAATAAAGGTAGTGTACTTACGTGATTTGCACAAAAAAAGAGCACAACACAACAGACAAAAGAGTACTACAACGTACATGCAGTAAAGCGTTAGATGATCCTAGTCATTTTAACACAGTCTGTTTGAGTAACTTATAGCGTTTAGAATATTTTTAATATAACATTTAGCGTTTGCATTTAATATCCTAGAGTATTCGTGTTATTAGACACTATTTTGTCTAAACGCTTTTGCTAAACTTCAAAATTAGGTTTGGTTAGACAATTATGTCTTAACGGTTAGCGTTTAAACAATATTGTCTTAACAAACAGTGTTTAGACGATCTTGTCTTAACAAACAGTGTTTAGACGATCTTGTCTTAACAATAACATTGACTACGATCAAAATTGACTAGAGCGTTAGAGTGCTTGTGCATATACACTTTAAGAAGATCGAGAACTCTGAGAGGAATGAACAGAACCTAGAGGACCAAGAAGAACTAAGGAGTATATGGTAATCCCTGACTATGTAGGAACAAATTCATTCTAGCACTAATGCAAACCTTGAATTTTATGATGACTTATTATGGAGTTTATAATCCATTCATCATAACAAGTGAAACAATGACATAATTATAATTATGATGAGACTTTTTATGCCAATTATAACTAGAACCACCACATGAAGTGGGTCCGGTGACAATTTTGTAATAAAGTACAAGACTTTCTATGTCGGTTATAACTAGAACCACCATCCATAGTAAGTGGGATGGTGGAGACTTTGTAATAGAATTCAAGACTTTCTATAGCGGCTATCAAAAGAATCATTTTAATATCTTTAATTTCCTTTTTCCCTCCCAACCTTCTCACGTTGCACTTCACACTCCCAACTCTCGTTTTCTTTGAGCCCTCACCTCCTTGGTGCATTACACTACACTCTCATCTCCTTCTCGTTTTGGTGGTTGTCGGTCTTGCTCTCACAACTCTCTCGTTTAGTAGTTGAGTGTTTTTCTTTCATTTAGGGTTTTGTTCATTTCTCTCTCTCTCTCTCTCTCTCTCTCTCTCTCTCTCTCTTAATCAATATTTTAGGTTNATATATATATATATATATTTAAATATCTGATTTGATGATATAATTAGTAGTAGATGTGGGATTTGGAGGTTAGAATTGATGTGTTTTGTTTTCAGGGGAGGTGTATGTGTGCGGGATGTCGAAGGAGGAAGAGGTACCGGATGATCCTGCGGAGATAAGGGGAAACCCTGAATCGATTGCGATGCTTAAGAGGGTGGCTAAGACTGTGTCGAGCCATCTTGGGGAAGGAGAGGCCGGTCTGAAGGCAGAGCAAGCCTGCTTCTTGCCCTGTACTGATGATGGGATACCAGTGATAGGAGAGGTTCCAGGGGTGAAGGGCTGTTACGTGGCAACAGGGCACAACTGTTGGGGTATTCTCAATGGTCCTGCCACTGGAGCTGCACTTGCTCAGCTTATTCTTCATGGTCATTCCGCCATTGTTGATCTTAAGCGCTTTAGTCCCTCCAGATTCCTTCTCCCCTCAAACCCTTAGATACTCTTGCAGGATCACTCTTTTCAACTCTTCCTAATTTTCATCATCAAATATCTATGTAACTTCATATAAAACAATGAAAAGCGTTTATGAAGAATCACTCATCTTGTACTCTTTTTTTTTCTTTTGTTTAATATAAGTTTTTTGCTTTAATTTTTAATGTGATTGTTAATGCCTAACTTGAACTAAAGTAGGGTAGAGCATAAACTCTTGTTTAGTAACATCAAAAGCTAATAAAGAAATCTTATACTATAAATATATTCTGATTAAATTTTACGTACAGTATAACTTTGTTTTAAATTTCACAAATCCAAATTTAGTCAAACTTAACTACTGTCATTGTACACTCATCATAACTCTTGTTTCTAAAAAGTCGAGAGACTTTAAAACTATAACATTCTAAGTATTTATGTATTGTATATTGTATGTTCTTTTTATATTTATACATATATTTTATTAATGTTTTGATTAATCCAAGCAATCTTTGAAATAAACCTTATTCGTAAAATGTTTTATAAAACGATTATTTATTTTCATAATTAAATGACCTTATTATTTTAATATAAATGTTGGAATTTCATTATTATTTATTCAGTTACGGGGTTTCTCATGTGATCAAAATGTGCTAGTCGTAAAATAGGTATATAAGTTTAAGTAAAGGTTGAAAACGGATTTAATATCTCAATAATCTTCTCGCTTTATACGGTTCAATATTAGAAAGTTTGTACTGAGATTATTATTATTATATTATATGCTGAGCGAATGAATCTCATTATTATTTTTATAAGATTATTAATCTATTTTAATTTACATAATGATGATTATTTGATGATTAAGTCTCCATTAAAGCCTGAAAAGAAGTCAAATTTCAGTATAAACAATATAAATAAGTGTCTTAGCTGGGAATTTGTTCACAAGCATTTATTATAATTTTAAATTTTTTCACAAATCAATTTATATTTTCTTTTGCATGAGTTAGATGACCTTAGTGGTTATTAAACATATAAGTATTCAAATTCACGTTTATGAAAAATCTTTGAAAACCAAAAGTAATAAGACACACTTATTTTTATACTAATTTACTCAAATTAAGTTAGGTCAAATTCTTCTTTATACACTTTTAAAGGGTTTCATTAATCACAAAGGATTACAATGAGTTTAATTACTTATGGTATACAACTAACCCAATTGGTTAGAACGAGTATAACCAATCCTAGTATGAACTTGTCTAACTGATCAGACGGTTTAACTCCATTAAGTTAAACTTATACATATTTTACTTCACTTCTAAAAAAAAAATAACAGTGTTTTATAGATTACAAGAACAAAATATGTAATTCTCATAGAGAAGATTTGAAATCAATACAAAGAAATTATGAAAACTTGTAAAGAACTTTTCTTTTTCAAAGAACAAGCATTAGACGATGTAAGCTTTAGAAAAAATAATAGTAAGAGGGTATGCACAAATAATTCTTAATCATTTTTCTCTTCTCTTCATACAGTTCTCTTTATATAGATTTTTTTTGGAAAAAAAAATGTTAGTTAGAGCTTTTGACTTTCACTTAGAGATGTAGCCTTTTGTACTAGGTTAGAAGCTATGTTGCGTCATATAGAAACAATTGTGTTGTGTACGGAAGAGACAAGTAGAAAGAATGAATAAAACATTCTTCGAATATCTTCATGTCTTTAAACGTTCTTCTGATTCTAATGCAGCCTTTTGAATAAAGGTAGTGTACTTACGTGATTTGCACAAAAAAAGAGCACAACACAACAGACAAAAGAGTACTACAACGTACATGCAGTAAAGCGTTAGATGATCCTAGTCATTTAAACACAGTCTGTTTGAGTAACTTATAGCGTTTAGAATATTTTTAATATAACATTTAGCATTTGCATTTAATATCCTAGAGTATTCGTGTTATTAGACACTATTTTGTCCAAACGCTTTTGCTAAACTTCAAAATTAGGTTTGGTTAGACAATTATGTCTTAACGGTTAGCGTTTAAACAATATTGTCTTAACAAACAGTGTTTAGACGATCTTGTCTTAACAAACAGTGTTTAGACGATCTTGTCTTAACAATAACATTGACTACGATCAAAATTGACTAGAGCGTTAGAGTGCTTGTGCATATACACTTTAAGAAGATCGAGAACTCTGAGAGGAATGAACAGAACCTAGAGGACCAAGAAGAACTAAGGAGTATATGGTAATCCCTGACTATGTAGGAACAAATTCATTCTAGCACTAATGCAAACCTTGAATTTTATGATGACTTATTATGGAGTTTATAATCCATTCATCATAACAAGTGAAACAATGACATAATTATAATTATGATGAGACTTTTTATGCCAATTATAACTAGAACCACCACATGAAGTGGGTCCGGTGACAATTTTGTAATAAAGTACAAGACTTTCTATGTCGGTTATAACTAGAACCACCATCCATAGTAAGTGGGATGGTGGCGACTTTGTAATAGAATTCAAGACTTTCTATAGCGGCTATCAAAAGAATCATTTTAATATCTTTAATTTCCTTTTTCCCTCCCAACCTTCTCACGTTGCACTTCACACTCCCAACTCTCGTTTTCTTTGAGCCCTCACCTCCTTGGTGCATTACACTACACTCTCATCTCCTTCTCGTTTTGGTGGTTGTCGGTCTTGCTCTCACAACTCTCTCGTTTAGTAGTTGAGTGTTTTTCTTTCATTTAGGGTTTTGTTCATTTTTTCTCTCTCTCTCTCTCTCTTAATCAATATTTTAGGTTTTGAGAGTTTGCCACCTCACCTCCACTGTCATTCGTACCAACATGTCACTATGGTATTTCATCTCCTTCGATTCATGTGTCGTTGAATTGTTTGAAGGTGCTTCCTTCTCCATACTCTTCGATAACAAGGTCCAGAAGTTGAACATCCTCGATGACACCATCATGTTCTCTACCAAGTTCACTAAGTTTTTGCGTTTATGTTTACCTTGATATCGTGGAACCCAGCCACAAACTCATTAAGTCTTCTTCCTCCAAGCCTTCACATGGAAAAAAGATGTCTTTTTCTCATTCTTTCAAAATTGTTCTGTGAGTTCTTCAAAAAAAATTGAAAAGCAATTAAATAAAAACAAGAAAGCATAAACTCAGGTATTATTTGCCCAAATCACTGGCTCAATAATATCTTGCATACTGGCCCAATTATGGTCTAATATTAAAAACTTAAGCATTGGCTCAACATCGATACCTTTAAACGCTGGTCCAACATTAATCTGATTGACCGACGACATATGGAATAGACCGAACGGTTACAAATACTAACCGTTCGGCCTCTGTACCGTACAAAGATCATTTTATTGACCACAAGATTGTAGTTAACAAGTTAAGGGAGATTCTTGTGGCATATTCATTTGCTTCTATAAAATTTATTTTTCCATATATTGTGAACCTGGATTGAAAATTTTCTTTTTCAGTGATTGAAATAACTTTTGAAGAATTTGAGTATTTGTAATTTATGAGGAAAGAAAAAACTTTCTTGCTTGAAATCGATAAACTTTGAATCAGAAGGGTTAGAAAACAATGTTGTTCGAGTTTTACACAGTAAACAAGAATGTTTCTCTTTAAACGTTTAACTGAGTTGCACGTCTTGGACTAAACCTTGAAATCACTAATTAACTATATAATCTAAAGTAACGTTGACATAGTTGATTTGCATTCTTTTTATCAGAATCCAATTAAAGGAAATAAAGAAAGCTGATTTTAATTTAATAGAAAGAATTAAGTAGATGTGAAATTTGCTTGTTTACCAAAAGTTGGTCCAACATCATTTATGTTAGAAAAGTTAGGTTGCAAGAACCATTGTATTCATATGTAAGAAAATAAACAATTAATGAACAGTTGGATTAGAAAAAGAAATTAAGATAGAATATATTTCTTGAAAATTAGCAAATGAATTAACAGAGAGCACAATTAGAACACGCAACATTGAATCAAATACAAAAACCTATTAGTCAATGATAAGTACATTATTTGTTTTCTTTCTACAAAAATCCCTGTGACAAATCATGATTTAGACGCTATATTAATATGAGGAGGAAGAAGAGGAGGATGAGATCTTTTCAAGAACTTGTAGCACCTCTTTCATTGAAGGCCTTTTAAGTGGAACGCTAGACACACAACTATACCCTAGCTTGAAGTAGGTCAACAGGGCCTCCTCTCTCCCCTCCATGTCGGCCCTGATAGCCATATCAACCATACGCAAGGCCCGGTTCTTATCCTCCGTCAAAACCCCAGGCCCTTGGCCCGTATCATCCAAAACCACAATCTTCCCCGTTAGAAGCTCAAGAAACATGACCCCAAAAGAGTACACGTCCCACTTGGGGTGAGGCTTCAGGTTCCTCAGCGACTCGGGAGCATGATAAGGAGATAAGCCCATCATGGAACTAGGGCTCGGGCTCGGGCTCGGGCTTGGCCCATAGGTAATGTCCTGAAAACTGTCCCGGGAGGCCGTGGATCTCTTGCTCCCAAAAATACGCGCCGATCCGCCAGCCTTATAACTGGTGTCACCGGTGACTATCCTCTCAAGCCCAAAGTCTCCAATCTTGGGCTCCATGTCATTGCCCAGCAGAATATTGCTAGGCTTCAAGTTTCCATGCACGTGTTTCTTCTCGTGGAGATAAGTCAGTCCACGTGCCACCCCTTTCGCTATCTTCAGCCTGATTTCCCACGGTAAATGAGTCGGCGAGGTGCCCGCCTTCCCTGATTATACATTCCAAGCACACAATTTTTTACTTTTATCATAAATAACGTAACATTGACCAAAGTTGGTGCACCAAATGCATTGAGAAAAACATAGAAACCAAGAAAGAAATTATTTTGATGTAAAACAGCGAGCAAAGCATCAGAGGAAAATGGAAACGACTTACTGTAACGAACATTGGCAAGGCAACCGTTTGGAACGAAATCATAGATGATGAGTTTCTCATCGTGTCCCCAGTAGAAGCCTCGAATGCGAACCAGATTAGGGTGCACCAGTTTAGCAATAAGTCGAACCTGGTTCTGGAAGTCCTTGAACCGCTCCACACCGCTCTCCCCGATTCTCCGAACCGCCAAGGACATACCATCTTCCAAGACAGCCTTGTACATTATGCTGGACCCCGTCGCACCCAATATGTACACAGAAGCCTTCAGGAGCGTTTCCAGTTCAAGCTGTCGTTCTCCGTCCACAATCACAAGAGTCCCCGTTTTCTCCTCCTGTTGAGGACCCTTTGGCTTCTGCCCCTCCACCTCGCTATCACAACTGCTTCTTGTCTCTGAACACTCTTCATCTTCCGCTCTCTTACTCAAACACGACCACCTCATAAACCTTCTAGACTCCCACGAACTCTCACTCTCACTACCACTTCCACTCCTCACAACCGCCTCCTTCTTCACCACCTCCTTTTTTTTCTTCAACCGGTACACCTGCGCGAATATCATGCCAAGGATCGCTATCCCAATTACGTCTCCCACAACGATTCCTATAATCGTTCCTCGCTTCAGACCACTCCCTTTTTTCCCCCTAGGCGCCGCCGAAGAATCAAACGTCCGCGGGATTGCCGCGATTGCAGGAGGAGATATAGGAGCAGAAATATTCGGTTTAGAGGACGACGAAGAAGGAACAGGGCACACATTCTTCGTTTGTTCTCCACACAGGTTGACGTTACCGGAGAAAGATTTCCAGTTCTGATTCAAAAACACAGCGGAGTCGGGAACTTGGCCGGTGAGGTTGTTGAACGAAAGGTCGACGGTGGCGTTTCCGGAAATGTTTGCTGCGAACTCCATCGGGATTTCGCCGAAAAATCTGTTGTAGGAGATGTTTATGTAACGCATGGCGTCTCCGCCGAAATCCGCGGGAAGAGTCCCGTTGAACAGGTTTGAAGACAGATCCAANTTAGAGGAAAATGGAAATGACTTACTGTAACGAACATTGGCAAGACAACCGTTTGGAACGAAATCATAGATGATGAGTTTCTCATCGTGTCCCCAGTAGAAGCCTCGAATGCGAACCAGATTAGGGTGCACCAGTTTAGCAATAAGTCGAACCTGGTTCTGGAAGTCCTTGAACCGCTCCACACCGCTCTCCCCGATTCTCCGAACCGCCAAGGACATACCATCTTCCAAGACAGCCTTGTACATTATGCTGGACCCCGTCGCACCCAATATGTACACAGAAGCCTTCAGGAGCGTTTCCAGTTCAAGCTGTCGTTCTCCGTCCACAATCACAAGAGTCCCCGTTTTCTCCTCCTGTTGAGGACCCTTTGGCTTCTGCCCCTCCACCTCGCTATCACAACTGCTTCTTGTCTCTGAACACTCTTCATCTTCCGCTCTCTTACTCAAACACGACCACCTCATAAACCTTCTAGACTCCCACGAACTCTCACTCTCACTACCACTTCCACTCCTCACAACCGCCTCCTTCTTCACCACCTCCTTTTTTTTCTTCAACCGGTACACCTGCGCGAATATCATGCCAAGGATCGCTATCCCAATTACGTCTCCCACAACGATTCCTATAATCGTTCCTCGCTTCAGACCACTCCCTTTTTTCCCCCTAGGCGCCGCCGAAGAATCAAACGTCCGCGGGATTGCCGCGATTGCAGGAGGAGATATAGGAGCAGAAATATTCGGTTTAGAGGACGACGAAGAAGGAACAGGGCACACATTCTTCGTTTGTTCTCCACACAGGTTGACGTTACCGGAGAAAGATTTCCAGTTCTGATTCAAAAACACAGCGGAGTCGGGAACTTGGCCGGTGAGGTTGTTGAACGAAAGGTCGACGGTGGCGTTTCCGGGAATGTTTGCTGCGAACTCCATCGGGATTTCGCCGAAAAATCTGTTGTAGGAGATGTTTATGTAACGCATGGCGTCTCCGCCGAAATCCGCGGGAAGAGTCCCGTTGAACAGGTTTGAAGACAGATCCAAAACCTGCAACGTTCTCAACCCGCTGGGAAGAAAACCTGACAAGTAGTTGTTCTTGAAGGAAGCCAGAGTTAGGTTGTGCATGTCGGACAAATCGTGAGGCAGTTTTCCCGCCAAAGCATTGTCGGAGAGGTTTAGGCATTGGAGATTCTGAAGCTGGGGAATGGACTGGGGAACCTCCCCTGTTATTAAATTGTTAGAGAGATTGAGGAACCTAAGCTCGGAGGCTTGGGAGAGAGAAGAAGGAAGAGAGCCGTTGAGGGAGTTGTTGGAAAGGTCTAGGACTTGAAGATGTTCAATGGAACCCAGATCGGAGGGAATTGAACCCAAAAGCTGAGAATTGGGAAGCGACAACGATGTGACGCGGTACTCGGTACCGTTCGTGGCTGGTACGGTGGAACAAGAAACGCCGTTCCAGGAACACGGTGTCTGGTCAGTGTAGTTCCAGTTAGCGAGGACGTAAAGAGGGTCGTTGAGCACAGCGTACTTGAAAGAAAGCAACAGAACGCCGTCTCTAGTGAGGCCAGAAGAGTGGTTAACAGCGAGGAGAAGAAGCAGCGAAATTATGAGAGGTTGACAGAAGAGAGTCATGATTTTACAGAGTAATCCCACATTGCTGACGGAGGGAGAAAGAGGAGGGAAAGGTGTAACGGTGATTTATTGCGATGGGACGGAAGGCCATGTGGATGGATGGAATATAAAAAAAAAATGGTTGAAGGACATACACAGCTCACCAAAGACGGAACCTCTTACAAATATGCTCCTACGCTGCTTGCTACGATTTATGGTTGAACTCCAAATAGTTTATTGCTTAATCACTTCTCTTCTCTCTCTTCCTAGTACTACATGTAAAGCGATGCTTGTGCATAGCATCTTTTTCTACTACTACTAGACATGCAGGTGAAGTTGGAAATTTAGTTAATGCAAACCTTTTTCTGCCTGATTGACTTCACAAGCCCTCCAATGATCCAATTCCTGTGTCAATATAATTACGTCTTCGTCTGTTCACTATTTAATATTACTCTTAATTAAAGCTTTACCAATTAAAATAACTGGCTACTTTATTCTACCTAAATGGACAAGCTGTCATTTGTTTTTTCTTCTTTATTGCTGTTTTGGTTAAGGAATGGGAGAAATCAAAACAATTCAATTCTACGGCAAACCAAGTCTATCTTTTCCCACTGGATACCATCATTTTCACCTTCGCCAAAAAAGACCGAGAACCAATGGAAAATGTTTTTAAAAAGAGAAACAGAATTAACAACAGTATCTTTCTTCAATGTAATAATTTATCTATCGGAAAAACATATAGCTATGTTTCGTGCCATTATTGAAGGTCCCAAAAACATAATCCTACCATCCGTCGCAACGTCGTCGTCGTTATTAGATTAATTAATTCAAGCGAAAAAAATTGGGAAAATTTTGATCTTTGATCTCAATTCAATGTCCCCAGTTTTAAATTTGAGTGGCAGTCACGAAAAATATAGGCGTGCGTGATGGCATGTATGAAGGACCATTCGCATTGAATTTCATTACCGCGAGAACGAGAAGATATGGCCCCATTAATTATCTAGGGGGACAGTAAATACATAGTACCACATCAAATGACCGTGGGAACAGTCTTGTTTTTTTTCTCACAGTTGTCCATGAACCATAATAATCCATGACCTTGATGAAGATTGCTCGCAGATAATTCTACTGGCACTAGATCATAATAAAATAATATTCTATATAGTACAAGAAGTCTAAGGAAGAGGCATCCTCATTTTGACGGTGGACAAAAAATCAAACGGACCCCTTTTCTGTCTGTATACATCTTTTGTGAAACAATGGCAGATACTGTAGATTCGCGATTAGATTATTTGCAATTGCAAGGTAGCACCAAGCTGAATTTTAGGTTACAATTTTGGGCTTGCATTGCAGCCTAGTACAGAACAGCTTATTCGTTTCAGACATTATAAGGAACCAAACATGGATGATTGATCGGGTTTCAGATCACACATGGGAACGCATTATCACCTAAACTGTAATCTTGTTCTTTATTAGCTTGGCTCCTGCATTTTTAACATTTGTTGTCAGCTTTACTGACCTCTAATTTAAAAATCCAAAAAGGTACCAAAGTAGACATTTAATTGCCCTTTTAAAAATTAATCAAACACGAGATTCAAAAGGTCTTGTACCTGCTTTAAATGGTGGAAATTTCACAAACATGATGTAGACTAAAGTTTGTGTGACTTTTACTTTCTGGGCCTATTAATAGTAAACGCTCCTTTAATTATTTTTCATTAAGATCAAGCCTTTTATTCTTTGCTATAAGGATAAAAGGTTAAAAGGGCACTTAAAGCATATACGTTTTGCTTTTCTTTAATACACGTTCTCTTTCCGTATAGAAGAAAAGATGCAAGAATGGAGAAGGTTGGGGTCATGGCAGATCACCAAAAAACAATTGCTTCAAGAAAGCTCAGAATGGACGCTCGATAGATGATCTAATAAGATGCAACAAACCAACGCTCATGGTAATTAGATCAAACAAGCACACCCATCATACTCCACTAAACTATGAAAGTAACGTGTGCATCTATGCTTATGCTCAACCAACCCCATCCAAGATTCAAGCAAAGATTAGTGAACATTTTTAGTAATCTACCAACTCCATGCTAAGAGGAAAAAGAAAAACTTTAAAAAGAGAATGAAAAAATGCATAATTTTCATTGGAGACATCTTTAGGTGATCTAAAACTTTGTGAAAAGATTGTGCTCCCTATGCCTTTAAGTTGGTGTTCAATGATTAAGGGCCAAAAGGAAATTTGACTATTCATTGAGGAATATAACACTTTACTGATTAGTGGCGCCTAGCAACATAATGTTTGTTTTCACCTTTTCTTCATCAACATGGAGCAAAAAGAATGCAGTTCACAAGCCTTTTATTTACATCTTCGCTTCCCCCAATGAACGGATCGTGTTTCTTCCTTCTCAAACAAGTTAGCTCATTGAATCTTGAAACTCCTTGTCATTTTTTCAGTTGATAAGCAACCGTGTATTTTTAACAGATAATGATGTAAAGGGAGAGAATGAAAATGAATAGTTGAAACGAAAATCAATGAAGAAAGTAAGGTTAAAAACACGTCAAAGGAAAGGACCTAGTCCAAAGTCTAACAAATATTAAACAAAACGTGAGATTGGACACTTGGATTGAAGTCCTTGGTGGCTGATTCTCAACACCAGGCTGACCAAGGCTTGTTTCTCACTGGCAATTTATCTTTGTGCTTTGTTTAACATTAATTCAGACTTTTATGACTTCACTCACACATGCAGGCATGATCTAAGTTGGTAACATATGCATTTATTTACTTCGCCCAAGTTAAATAGAGGATATAGGATTCAGATACTGAGATAGAAAAATTGAGTCCAAATTATTATATGGGATAAGATCTTCTAATGTGATTTTGAATAAAATTAGGGTTCGCTAGTGCCTAATTATATAATAATAGTTAATTGCAACTCCCAGAATTCCGACAGAGATGCTTGCAGAAGAAGCTTGCACATGGTCGACATAGTCACCTTATTGATCACCACGTGGCATCACACAATTTTTAAATGTAATTAAGACATGAGAATAATAGTTGTCCTTAAAAAATTCTGCCCTTAAACGAGACATACGATAAGGTTGGTTTTCTTGCTTTTATAAATTTTGTCCAGGCTTAACTCCACGTACATTTTGATTCATCCTCCACTAGCATTTATTAATGAATTACACATCTCTTGATTCTAATAATAATAATAATAATAATAATATTTCGAAGGTCTAGAAATACCTTGACTAATATTACATCAGGATTAAGGTTACATAGAAGTTGGTAAATAATTTAATTAATAGTATAAAATCCTCTAGTCTCGAACAAAAGCAAAAAGGCTATTCGTAACTGATTTACGAGTACACAACTCTATAGCCGCGAAGATAAACAACTAAATTATCATAGGTTGGCAAATAATCTGTTAGTTGTTTTTGATTCATTAGTACAAAACTATTGAATTTTAAATCTCTTCCTTTATAAAGTTTTGAGGCTTGATAAGCACACTTTAGACTTAAGTAGATTTTACTTTTAATATAAAATCAGGGTTCAATTTTCCTTGTTTCTTAGACTTTGGAGGTGAGAGATGGCAATCGGACTAGGAGTATTTATTTTATCGTTAAAATATTAATTTATTTATATTTTTGTTTGACTTTGTCAATTCAAATCAAATTTTTTTTAGTAAAATCTTAATTTTTTTTCAATTAATTTCGTCCATTTTACTAATGTGTAATACAATGTATGTTAGTTTGTGATTTTTAAAAAAAATTAATTACTTTTTAGTTTTTTTTAATGTAAAAAAAGTTATCTAAGTGTCAAGTATTGTGTCACGTTATAATAGTAATGTTCATGTCAGGATTAGTGACATGTGTCAGTGTTACGTGTCAATGTCTTATATTTAATTTAGTTTCTATATTCGTTATTTTTGTTGAATTCAATCCCAATTTATTTTAAAATCGAGCAATTTTGTCTATTTTCAAATTAAGACCAAATCTAATTTTTATATAAATGTTATACTACCTTACAATTATGTCATCGAACCACTTTTTATACCTAATGAATTATAATTAATACAATTAGTCAATATAAAAAGTATTTTTTGCATTAGTCACATGTGATAAATCAAAAACAAATAAAAATATTAAAACATAAACATAAATTATCAATTACGTCTCTTAATATGACGTCGATGTTTTGACAGACATTAAAGGTAAAAAATAACTTACGTCAAAACCCTTTTTTTATAATAGTGATAATATATAATGAAGATAAATCTCACCTTACATAATAATTTAATAAGAGTGAATTAAGCTTAAACTTATCATTCTAATATCCAACTTAATTTAAAATTTTGATTATTACATAAATGTATATTTACACTTTGTTAATGCAAATATTCCATTCAAAATCGGGTTGAGTTCTCAAAATACCTGTAGATTTTGATTTATTTCTCCACTTTAGATTTTGTATATTTCTTTGATTACTCCACTGAAAATTGTGTTTCACATCATTTTTTGGGTCAAATTTACATCACTTTTAAGTACTTTTTTATGTGAGTATAAGACACGATGAAGTTTCAACATTTTACCACTAATTGATATCATGCCCAATATAAAAAAAAAAAAAACATTTGGTTTTTACATTGGTTATGAGCATGATAATATATGATGTTTACATTACTTTTTTTAACATCAACCCAAAATTTAAAATAAAAATTAGAATATTTGAGTCAGATAATCACAATATATTTAAATAGTTACATCCGAACAAAATAATTATAATAATAAAATTATCCATTATAAGTTAAACTATCTAATATTACATACTGTTATAAAATAAACATAAGGTAACTAAACAAAATAAAACAAAAACTAAAGCGCCAAATCTCTTACTATGTTGAGCATAGAGTAATTAATACAGAAAAAATCTTATTTACAAAACTATTATCACATTTCTTTTACTAATTAATATAGAACGTATGACTCAAATTAGTTATTTTTGGATTATTGTTTCAAAAGTTGCAAACTTAATATTATTGACTAAGGAGCTGAAGTGTGATGTTCCTCAAATATTAAATAAGAAGTACTTAATGATGATAATTGAATTAAGATAATTTTCGGTAATCATTAAATATAGTGAAATAAATGGGTATATCCCGAACAATTCGTTTAATATTTTGAACATAAAAAGAGAAGGGTAAGAAAAATAAAAAAGAGTAAATGAGATGGCAACTTAAGAAGATTTTTTTTTTAAAACAATAATCTTCTCTAAGTGTAATTTTTGTGTAGTATCTTCTCTAAAAAAAGGATAATGAAATATTTAGAAAGATAAGAAGTGAATTATTTGCCTTTTCTAAAGCTAATATTTAGAAAGTGTATTTA